GCCAAGAAGCAAGTCGCGGAGCGGACCTTACTCGCCAACCTTGGACGTTCCTTGCCGAGCTGATGTTGCTCGCCAAGAAGGAAGTCGCGAAGCGGACCTTGCTCGCCTTCCTTGGAGTTCCTTGACCGAGCTGATGTTGCTCGCCAAGAAGCAAGTTGCGGAGCGGACCTTGCTCGCCGACCTTGGAAATTCTTTGCCGAGCTGATGTTGCTCAACAAGAAAGAAGTCACGGAGTGGACCTTGCTCGCCTTCCTTGGAGTTCCTTGACCGAGCTGATGTTGCTTGCCAAGAAGCAAGTCGCGGAGCGGACCTTGCTCGCCGACCTTGGAAGTTCCCTACCGAGCTGATGTTGCTCGCCAAGAAGGAAGTCGCGGAGCGGACCTTGCTCGCCTTCTTTGGAGTTCCTTGGCCGAGCTGATCTTGCTCGCCAAGAAGGAAGTCGTGGAGCGGACCTTGCTCACCTTCTTAGTGCGGTCACCGTCTTGCAGACTAAGAACTGAGGAAGGGTTACCCCGGTCAGATAGGTAATCCCAGTTACGCTTGCGCGGACTGAATTAAGGGGCAATTGAGAGGGAGATTTATGATCTGGATTAGGCCGTGGTAATTGCCGGACAGATTTGGGCTGGACAAGATTGGGCCTAGGTAGCGCGGTCCTGTGCTGAAAGGATTTGCTCGGTTAAGGCAAGGCGTAGTTGGACCGAGCTACATAGCTGCATGGTATAGAGGTCAGTCAAGTGAGATGTCCGGCGCCAGGAAAGGCGTGGTTGGATCGGGGTTCATGAGTTAGTCCGGCAGGAAGGCCGACGACAAACCAGCATGAGCTATCCCGAGCTCGGCTCTGCCGGGATGCAGCCGAGCTTGGTCCTCATTAAGCGCGGCGAGCGGAGCGCTCTGGCCAGTTACATAGCACGGCCGTTGATAGCCGAGAAGATGCAGCCCGGCTGCCGAGCTTCCAGTATAGTGGGCTGGCAGTTTGGTTAGGTGGTGTTCAGCAAAATTTGTGCTGACAGATGGGATAGCAGCACCACGTGTCGAGAGACTAATGGCAGTAGATTTGGGGCGCAGAAGGTATATAAGTGAGTCCGTGCCCCCCATGCCTGGACAGAGGAACATTTTGTAAGGAAATTCTTACACTCTAACACTCCTCTCTCTCTCTCTCTCCCTCTATCCTAAGGTGTGTGCTAACTTGATCGTCGGAGGGTTTTTCTGGCCACACACCGCCGGGTAGCTCACCGTTATTTGCTCGTAGGTGATCGGACAGAAACAAAACTCGGAAGAAAGGAGTACGGGCTCGTCGGAATATTTGGTCCCCGTACATGTAGAGAAAAGAAAAATTAAAAGAAAAATGAAAAAGACGGAGAAAGACGATTGAGTGAACAATCAAAGTAATAATTATTTACCTCTACTCCTATGCTTCGAAAAGGAAGTGCATAATGAGGGAGACGAAAAAAGATGATTGAGTGAACAATCAAAGTAATAATTACTTACCTATACTCCTATGCTTTGAAAAGGAAGTGCTGAAAATAAATGTTTCGAAATATAAATTTATGTTAAACTACTCCTAAGATAAGGAAAATGATAAGAAATATTGAAATCAATTGTCTTTGATTTGAATTCTGGATCCTTTACAATGTAGCCATGAATAGTTATTTATAGACAAACATTTGTAGGAAAAAACTACCTAATAACTACCCTATTACTTAAAACTGCCCACTCTTCCACGTGCTTCATTTCATACTTCATGATTTTCCATAATTTCCTTCAACCTCCACTTCATACTTCATGTTCTCCACCTTATTCTCCATCATTTTTTCACATTTTATAACTTCTCATAACCTCCAAATGAGTAGAAAAATGCCACATGTCCTGCAACTATATAAATGATAAATAATAATAAAATCACAGATTTATGGTGCTAACATTACTCCCCGCGTCCCTTAAAAATGATGTTTACTTGAGTTTTTGAAGGGCCGAACCAAGCACTTCCACGTGCTTCATTTCATACTTCATGATTTTCCATAATTTCCTTCAACCTCCACTTCATACTTCATGTTCTCCACCTTATTCTCCATCATTTTTTCACATTTTATAACTTCTCATAACCTCCAAATGAGTAGAAAGATGCCACATGTCCTGCAACTATATAAATGATAAATAATAATAAAATCACAGATTTATGGTGCTAACATTACTCCCCGCGTCCCGTAAAAATGATGTTTACTTGAGTTTTTGAAGGGCTGAACCAAGCACATGACTAATCTAGGCAACAAAGTGCTTCGAATAATATCAACAAAGTGCTTCGAATGATATAATAACACCAATAAACTGCTTCGAATGAACATGAAATTATGAGAAGAAGACCAATAACAAGCTTCGAATGTGGTATAAAAGACCAAATTCATTGTTCGAAGGTCTTGTGACACAGCTTTAAAGGAACAACATCACCCCTCGAAGGTTGGAAGTATTGATATAGGATGATGATACTTACAATAAAGTTTCAAGGTTAGGCTTGATGCTTCGAATGTATCTTCAAAACTTTATACAGTTTCGAAGGTGAAGTAATCAACCTTCGCAACAACTTTTGATGTTTCGAAAAGCTTTATACAGCTTCAGAGGTGAAGTAATCAACCTTCAAAATAACTCTTGATGCTTCGAATGTATCTTCGCTGCTTTGATTGTGTACATACAAACAACTAGCCATTAATTTGAAAAGATAAGCCATTCTCAACCACTTATTTAAATGAATAGGCTTTTCTTAGCCAAGTTCATGCATTTTAAATGGTCATCCCCTGTTCTTAGTGCTTCGAACTCATAAGAACAGTTTGTTAATTTTATTAGCCACATCATTAGAATTATATTTTAGTGTGATTCACAAATCCAAAGTAGGTTTTGAACAGCAAGAACCATAGCACAAAATGGCCTTAAAAATTCAAACAACTTGACATTTTGAACAATTTCAAAAAATTCAGATTCATGAACATTAAATTGTTTATTATTCTTAGTCATGTTTGGGTAGAGAACATATTCTTTAGCCAAATAACTTTCATTATTTATTGATAAATGGGATTGTTTTTCTATTTTAGCCACTAACGGCTTATGAAAACCCTCCATGTGAGTTTCATCATTTTTTTGGCCTAATGGGTTGTTTCATTTTAGCCATTAATGGCTTATGAAAATCCTTCATAAACATGTTGTTTCCATGGGTTGACTCTCTAAGAATGAGTTTTTTAGCCCCCCGAGCTCTATATAAAACATAACAAGCTTTTTATCAAAGTTATTTTCATAAGTTGGCTTTTTAAAAATGGATTTTTCGACCCCCGAGCTATTGATGAAATTATATTTTCACTAATTTCAGTCAAAAATGACTTAAATACATTTTGTAAAACCCCACAAAATTCGGTCATTAAAGACTTGACAAAAATGGTTGATAACTCATGTCTTCATTGGCAAATTTCCATATCAAGTTGATGATTTACTTCAATTAAGTGATGTATTTTTTCTTTTACCAAATAATATGGTAATGAAGAAACTACTTGGAAATTTTCTTCATCAAGAAAATGGATATTTTCTTGAAGATTCAAAATTTTTCTTTCACGCCAATATATTTCATATTGACAAGTTCGAATGGAGAAATCCAAATCGTTTGTCATTTCTTACACTTGGCAATCCTACCGGGCGTGTCAAAAATTGTTGGCTTATTTTTCCTATCAAGGAAAATATCATAAATGCGAGCATGCAGCAAGGATTGAAAAATCTTTACAGATTAAATTCAAGTCAATTATCAAGCGATTACATTGACGGTTCTTTTGCCTCAACAAAGAGGACTTCAAAATTGTCAAATGTAGAGAAAATAAAAATTAAAAGAAGAATGAAGGAGACAGAGAAAGAAGATTGAGTGAAAAATCAAAATAATAATTATTTACATCTACTCCTATGTTTCGAAAAGGAAGTGCATAATGAAGGAGATGGAAAAAGATGATTGAGTGAACAATGAAAGTAATACTTACTTATCTCTACCCCTATGCTTTGAAAATGGAGTGCTGAAAATAAATACTTCGAAATATAAATCTATGTTAAAATACTCCTAAGATAAAAAAAATGACAAGAAATATTGAAATCAGTTGTCTTTGATTTGAATTCTAGATCCTTTACAATGTAGTCATGAATGACTATTTATAGGCAAACATTTGTAGGAAAAAACTACTTAAAACTACCCACTCTTCCACCTGCTCCATTTCATGCTACATGATCTTCCATAACTTCCTTCAACCTTCACTTCATACTTCATGTTCTCTACTTTATTCTCCATCATCTTTTCACATTTTATAACTTCTCATAACCTCCAAATGAGTAGGAAAATGACAAATGTCCTACAATTATATAAATAATAAATAATAATAAAATGACCAATTTATGGTGCTAACAGTTTCTCTCAATATTACTATCTCTAGAAATTACAACACTTTGAAATTGTCACATTATGGTTTCATCTGGAATTGATTTTTTTTTTTTAATTTTTTATTAAAAAATAAATATAGTGAGCCAATTTTTTTAAGTGCCTTTTTAGTTAAAATCTTATATGGTCACGAATTTTATTTTAATTATTCAAATTATTTATTTTATCAAATACTTAATTTATATCATTTATCTTAAAAATTAAATTAATTTAATAATCACAATTTATTTAGTTTATTATATTTATTAAAGACTAAAAAGCTACTTTCAAATGCATCTACGTGTGTAAGTCGTCATCGTTAGACCCACACTGGTCCCATTTCCGAGCAAGGATCCTTTAGAGTAATTTTTTTTTAAAATTTTTTAAAGTGTTACATTGTGTGGTTGAGATTTACTGGCAAATCATATCAATTTTTCTGATGTGACTTGCCAATAAATTTTAACCACACAATATAGCACTCTAGGAACTGGAGGGAAATTAGATCCTTGGTGCCCATTCCCATTGCCAGACGTCGTTCAAAAATCCTTTATAAACCAATCCAAAAGCGTAAAACCTGTCTCTAGTTTAGACTTGAGTGTTTTGTTTACAAATTACAATCTATAGAGAAAACAGCAGACGTCTCTAACAAGTATGGAAAATGGTAAACACCCTTCGCCTCTCCAACTCCAATCACCACCACCACTGCGTCAAACGCCGCCATGGAAGGTGGTGGCGGTGGCCGCAATAGCCGTCGGGGTTCAGTTCGGCTGGGCTTTACAATTCTCTCTCCTCACACCATACGTGCAGCTTCTAGGCATCCCACATAAATGGGCATCCTACATTTGGCTCTGCGGCCCCATCTCCGGCATGGTGGTGCAACCTCTCGCCGGCCACTACAGCGACCGCTGCACCTCCAAATTCGGCCGCCGCCGCCCCTTCATCGCAGCCGCCACCGCCCTCGTCACCGTCGCCGTCATTCTCATCGGCTTTGCCGCCGACCTCGGCCACCTCTCCGGCGACAGCCTCGACTCCGGCGCCGCCAAGCCCCGCGCCATCACCATCTTCGTGGTCGGATTCTGGATCCTGGACGTCGCCAACAACCTCCTCATGGCCCCCTGCCGCGCCTTCCTCGCCGACCTCTCCGACGGCGACCAGCGCAAAACTCGAAACGCCAACGCCGCCTTCGCCTTCTTCACCGCCGTTGGCAACGTCCTAGGCTACGCCGCCGGATCGTACTCGAACCTCCACCGCCTCTTCCCCTTCACCTCAACACAGGCCTGTGATGTTTACTGTGCCAATCTCAAGACCTGTTTCTTAATCTCAATCACTCTGTTACTCATTCTAACCGTACTCGCAATCAGCACTGTGCGTGAAGATCCAATTTCGAGGCTCTCGGTGCAGAAGAAGGATGAAACGGTGCCGTTTCTGGGGTTTTTCGGGGAATTATTGAGTGCGTTGAAAGAGTTTTCGAAGCCCATGTGGTACCTATTGTTGGCAATGATGCTGACCTCGACTGCTTGGTTTGGGTTCGTGCTGTACGACACTGATTGGGTGGGGAGAGAGGTGTATGGTGGAGAGGTTGGAGGAAAGGTGTACGATAGCGGAGTGAGAGCGGGGTCGTTGGGGCTGATGCTGAACTCAGCGGTGGCGGGGGTAACGGCACTGGCGGTGATGCTGGTGGCCCGTGGAGTCAAGGGAGGGAACCGGCTATGGGGTTGCGGTAACCTTTTGTTGGCGGTATGCTTGGCGATGACGGTGTGGATCACTAAAGTTGCAGAGTCGACACGGCGGAAAGCGGTGGCTAGTGGTGGTGGGACTACGCCGGCACGTGGTGTCAAGGCGGCAACTCTCTCTGTCTTTGCGGTTTTGGGGATTCCAACTGCGGTGAGTTTCAGTTTAAAGTTAGTGTTCCGTGATATATGGGTTTGCCTGCCAGGTTTGGGTTAGTTTGGTTGTTTTTAGTCTTAAAAAAAAAAAAAATTAATTTTTTAATTTAATAAAATAAAATATCATATTTAAATTATAATTATTTTATTTTTTTTTCATAAAAATCATAAAATTCAAAAAATTTATCCAAAAGACGCTTATAGTCTCAGATTAAAATAATCAAAAAAATTAAAAAGTCAAAAAGCCAAGCTACCCACATTCTAAATTAAGGCTATTTAAATGGTTGTTTGGAAAATGTTAAATAAGTATTTTTTTTTCAATTTTTTTATAAAATGATATATAAAAAAATAGAGAAGCGATATAATTAAAAAATAATAAGATAAAAAAGTGTGTTAATATGGTAAATACCAAATAAACTCTTAATTTTCAATAAAATTCTAAATATTTTTATTTATTTAAAAATAATGGTTGATTAATGTGAGTTATATAATAAAATTCTAAATATTTTTTTATTTGTTTAAAAATAATGGTTGATTAATGTTAGTTATATAATAAGATTTCCATTACATATGAGAAATAATATATATATATATATATTTTATAAATCCCTATGAGAGAAGAAAATTGCACAAAATTTCCTTTGTAGAATGATATCATATCATCGAGGAATTTTTAGGTGTAGGTAGAGTAGATGCTACGTTATACCCTATGAAGTATAGACACGCCAAAATGGAAGTTGTGGCGGTGTCAGATATAAGGACACGTCGGGGACACGTACGGGACACGGCATATGGCATGTCCCTTTAATTTAATTTATTTTTTTGCAGGGGACACGCGTGTCCAAATCTAGACATGCCATGGACATGGCGAGAAGAGTAAATGAAAGGGAAAGTAAGTACAAACCTGGTCGGTGACGATCCAAAGCCCTTCAACTTTGACTTCGACGATCTAGAGCCCCCTTCGACTTCGACGAGCTCTTTCTCACCTTTGCCTTCTCAGAGTTCTCTCTCTCGTCTTCTCTCTCTCCTTCGCAATCGCGATCATCTCCCTCTCTCTCGCTTCTGATCGCAATTGTCTCCTTCTGTCTTGTTTTTGTCTCGGTTCTCTCCGGTCTTTGTCTTTTTGTCTTGATTCATATATAATATATATAACTATTATATATAACTATTATAATAGTTATTATATAACATAAATATATTTTTAAGATAATGTATAATACATATTATAAGATAATATATAATTATACATATTAATAAATAAAAAAATAAATACATGTATGTATGTAAAATAAAATAAAAAAATTAATTGGAACACATTATTTAAAAAATATAATAAATAAAATAATTAATATGTATTAAAATAAAAATATTTATAAAAAAATTAAAAAATTTGTCGTATCCCGTGCCATATCCGTGTTCCCAATTTTTAAAAATTGCCGTGTCCCGTATCCGTGTCCGTACTTCATAAATTATACTTTCCAGTGTACAAAAATTTCTCCATATCATCATATGTTGTTGAATTTTTTTTTCTCCTGTCTAAGTTTGTTATAACCACCCACATGCCATATGAACATGTTTCATGTTTGGCCCTCCGGATTATCATTTGTTCTCTCTCTCTCTCTCTCTCTCTCTCTCTCTCTCTCTCTCTCTCTCAAATTTCTAATACTATTTTATGTTATAAAGTTAATATTTGGTGTAGTTATAATTTTTTATACCTTCAAATCTAACTGCTTAAATTAATAACTGCCGTTTTAAAAGTTTTGCACACGTATTGTGTATATATGTGTAGTTGCTTCTTTGAGGGGGAAAAAAATCCCAAGAAAAGACTTGTTTGGTAAATTTTGTTTTTAGTTTTTTTTCAACGTAACCCATTAAATGCCAACATTTTTAAGCAATACGTGATTCTAGGTACTCAAAATTTTATTAAAAAACAATATTTGGTTTCCATCCTTCAAAATGTGAATTTCACCATACAAGTGTTGCATTGTTTTTCTAGTTAAAATTTTGTTTACTTTTTCTAAATACCTAAATTATTATTAAGCAACCAAAATCAATTAGGGTAATTTTTTTTCTATTTTTGTTTTTTGGAGTTAAACATATTGTGCAATTTGTAGCTTATCCGAACCTTTACAATAATTTCTGATTGTTTTGTGTTTTGTTTTGGCCTTTGTTTGAAATGTTGGTTCCTCACTAACGTCTAAGGCTAGTGCTAGGATAAGATAGGATTCCTTCTCGGTGCCAGTTGGAATTGATAAAAATGTGGAATAAGAGTAACAATTTCACTTAAATATTACATATTACTATATTTGCTAATAGATGAGTTCACATTGGATGCATGAACCTGTTTCTTAATAAAAATATAAGTCTCACTTCGGAGAATAGATCAGTGAGACAGATTTTAGTATTTTATGAGAGGAAGAACTAGAAATATGAGTGTACAACTAGAAAGACTTTGAACAACTTTTTAGAATAAAAAAAGTTTTAGGTGTTACTTTTCCCTGTACAAAATAAAAAATTAAAGATCCATAATCAATTTCACTGGGTCGATGTTGGAGATAGTGAGATAATTGTACAACATTTGTGTTGTTCGCTATTTATACGATAAAGAATTTTGCTACTTTAAAATCGTTAAAGTAATTGCCACATTTTTTGCTTTTGAGAAAAAGAGCTTTCTTAGCACATATAGTGGTAGTCAGTTGTCCCATGTATTTTTTGGACCAGCATAATCATTCCATCTAAGCTAATTCCCATACCTATTTCATATTTTTCACCCAGTTCAGCTCGTCTTCATGCTTTTGGATGGACTAGTATTGAAGGGCATACAATTGATGATTGTCTCAATCAAAGCCTTCTAGAGTTGTAACAGACTATGCCTTTGTTTGGGATATGGGTTGATTTTTTGGCTTTTTGATTTTTCGGCTATTTTAGTCTAGAGCTAAAAAATTTCGTTTGGGATTAACTTTTTAACTTTTGTGAGAGGAAAAATAAAATGATTATAATTTAGATATGACATTTTATCTCTTTGACTTTGTAATCAATTTTATCATTTTGTAACTAAAATAGTCAAAAAAAACTCATGCCAAACATAACCTATAAATAAGAATTTGATGGAACTATACGATTACCAATCTCTTCATTAAAAAAAGCAATCACTTGAAGATTGTCCAAAATAATATCACGGCCATATAAATAGCACATCTATATATGGGACCATATGCAATTTTATTTGCTTTAATTTTATCAATTGAATTAAAACATGTATTTATTATATAATACTTATAACAAAAATATTAATGGCAACATAAAAACCATCATTATAGTGTAGTTCGGATGAAAATAATTAAAATTTACTTGATCTAGTCATTTTGTAATTTTTTAAAAATATTTTTATTTAATTTCAAAATAATTATTTAAAATCATGTATAACACAAGCTTATGATAGTCATTTTAAAAGGGATGGTGATAATGGCGGAATGTGATGGGTAAGATTCTAATTTAAAAAATATTTTTTATATTGAAAAATAAAAATATTTTCTGTCTGAATAAAATAATTACTTTTGTGGTTGTGCAGATGACTTCCACAATTCCCTTTTCATTGGGATCCATTTATTGCAGCAGCTTTGGTGGAGGACAAGGTAAAGTTTTTGCCCTTTTTGAACTTCTTCAATTTTCTTTTTTTTGGAATAATTAAATATTTCTTCTAAGACATTTGTAATGTTTCAATCTTATAGGTCTCTCTCTGGGAGTTTTGAATGTTGCTGTAGTCCTACCCCAGGTAAGATTTCATTATCTATCATATTGTTTCAAACTCCCAGTTGTGACAGTAATACATAATATTTTTATAAAATAAAATATAAATGTGAGATAAAAAGTGTATATCGGATCATTATTTATTATGCGATAATCGTCTGTACACTTAAATTTACTCTTCAAACCCATGCTTCTTAAACTCATGCGTATAAAATTAAGCTTAGGATGATGTTGGCTTCACTAAAATGAAATAGAAATTAATTGTTTATTTTATTAGAATATTCATTATCATGTTTAGTTCACTAAAAACCAAATGTAGTTTTATTACCTCATTAAAAAGACATTTGAATATGAATAATCTTCATGTATTACATGGGTTTTCCAAATGGAAAAATTAATGAAACGTCATTTTTCAACTTTGTATAGTAACAGAGGTCTAAGATATATATATATTTTTTTATTACCTAAGGTCCTTAATGAAATTTTTCTGTGATCATACCAGAGAAATTTTTCTATAAAAGTTGAATTTTTTTTATATTAGGGTCGAAATTTCTCTGAGTCGGGCCGATATTTCTTTGAGTCGGATACAAATTTCTCTAAATTAATTTTTCTTTATAAAAATATTAAATAAATTTAATTATTATAAAAATATTATATATCCTTAATTTTATAAAATTTTAATATCAAACACCCTAAAAATATTCCCCTTTGACAACTGCAAGGGGCCACATGTTAGCGAGCCTGTATGTAGGATAGACCACTTGAGATGAGAGTATGCTTCAATTATTGGAAAAGGCCGAACAGTTTTAGCTACAATGCTGATCTCAAGTTTGACCAATGGTATCATTTAGAAAAATTATTTCAAAAAAAAATTTATAAAAAAAGAGAGAATTAGCAACGAGCTGTACGTTCAAAAAATTATTACAGGGACATGAAAAAATTTAAGACTTTTATCATTAATATTGATAAAAGCAATCATTAATTTGTAATTTATATTTAAAATTTTTACTGATTTATTGTTTTCCTAAAAAAACACAATAATCATTTTAGATATTAGTTCACATTTTTTTAATCTTAAATTTATATTTTATACTTTATTTCTAGAGTAATTTTAAAGATAAAAATTTTTGATAAATGAATTTTTTTATTTATAAATCTGAATAATTCCTTATCCTTAGACATTTTGCAAGGGAGATGCATGTAAGTTACCAATCATATTCTCATGATGCAAGCGCAGCTTTGGTGTGGACTACTATAATGTCGTTATTGTGTAGAATAATATAATAGTAATAGATTCTATAATAAACACATTTTTTTTTATTTTTTGCAGCTTGTCAGAAAAATCAATAATATGAAATTTTATATCAAATTTAATATAAAATTTTGTTGAAAGTTGTTACGGCGCGCACCTTTAAAAAAGATATACATACATGACAAGATTAAATTGTTTTTGTAATAATTCAAAATATATTTTTCACAAAAAATTCATTATACTTTTTATCGAAATAATTATTATATGATGCCGCTCATAATAATATCATAATATTTATAACGTAACATTAATAATTTATGAGTTTCACTTTAGATATCTCTCACCACTCACATCTCAATCATCATCGGAGAATGAGTTTGATTTTCCTATTGAACATATAAAGAGAAACGGTATACGTAAGCATTTTTAGATTGTAATGAAATCCTCATCATTCAATTAGAGGCTTAATCCTTAGGGCTAACAAACATGAAAAAATAAAATAAATTCATATATATATTTAGACGGTGTTTGGATAAAAAATTTAAAGAAAAATATATGGAGAAAAAGAATTGAAAAAAAAAAACTTTTATTTTATTCATTCTCTTTCTTTTTCCCTTTTTTCCACAAATACTTCCTCAAATTATTAATCCAAACACCGCATTATATTCATGCTTTGTTTCTTTTTTATTTTTTCATTTTTCTTTCCAACCAAACAGGAAGTGTTATCATCTCTTTTATTTTTCATTTTTTTTTATGATGATTAATGGTTGGACAATTTATTTTTCAGTGGAATTTTTTATTAAATCCTCACAAAATAAATGTCATTTAAAAAAAAAAAAAAAGGGTTTCAAGCACTTGTTAGTTAGATGGGGACTAAACTAATCTTAGCTAGCTAATGTTGAAAACAGTTGGTGGTATCACTTACAAGCGGACCATGGGACCAGCTGTTCGGTGGCGGTAACTTGCCAGCATTTGTAATTGGAGCTACTGCAGCAGCGGCGAGCTGTGTGTTCGTGCTTGCATTGCTCCCATCACCACCACGAACTGATCACGATCCATCATCACCATCCGTTTTAAAGATCACTATTTCTGCACCTTCCCATTGAAATATTTTTCAATTAATTTTGAGTCGAAAAATGACTTACAAATAGAATTTCTATACAGAGAGAGTATAGGGTCATATTAATCTGTATATATAAAATTTTAGTACTTAAATTCTGCTTACAATTTAAACTCTTGATTTTTTAATTTGCTCCTTACGTTAATTAAGTTATTGTAGTTTTGATTATATCAATTTTGTGTTTATTTTTGTGTAATACGTTAATTTAATCAAATTAATTACATCGGTTATCCATCGGTTTAAAGTTCATTATTGCTAAACCAAGGGCTCTAACCTAGTCGGTTAGCCAATTTTATTACTTAAATTCTGCTTACAATTTAAACTCGTGATTGTGTAATTTGCTCCTTATGTTAATTAAGTTATTGTAGTTTTATTATATCAATTTTGTGTTTATTTTTGTATAATACGTTAATTTAATCAAATTAATTACATCAGTTATCCATCGGTTTAAAGATCATTATTGCTAAATCAAGGGGCTCTAACCTAGTCGGTTAGCCTTTTGGCTATCAAGTTTCTCCTAAATGAGAGGTCTTGCATTCCACTCTTAGGAGTGGAAAGGGAGGGCAAGAGTTTTTTGTAAGATGTGTGAGGGTGAGTTTCAACACCTCGATGTGCTAATTTAACAACTAATCACTAATATTTGTTGATTAAAAAAAAATCACTATTGCTGCAGCTTCCCACTGAAATGGAGCCCAAAATATACTTCCCTCGTTCTCTCCTGGTTTCTCTTAATTGGGCCAAATCTTTGCATTTGTTGTACGTTTATGAATATTTTTCCAACTTCGGTGGCTAGTTATTGTTGTTGTGCAAGAGAGTTCAGAAATGTGTTTAATTTCTCTTATATTTTAATTTTAATTTAAAAGAATCTGAGTGGCTTATTAGACTCATCATGAGTTCCATTTCGATAATTCAAATTGTTCATTTTGTAGAATTCTCATTGAATTGTATATTATTCATAGAAAAAAAATTAAATTAATCTGATAATTGTAATTTTTTTATTTTATCACATTTATCTTAAAAAAAATGAATGATAAATATGCCTTTGAAAATTGAGTAGAGGTTTTGGAAAGTATAAAATTCAAAATCCACCTCTGGTCGAAAGGGAAGGATGTGTGCAATTCAATTATTATTAGTGACCTTGTGTTTCGACTGCGCTCCATCAAGGATTATCTGTAGCAGTACACTTGGGCTCTATTACAAAAATGCTCCGGACCCCCAGTTTAGGCTGACCCCCAACACCCCCAGCTGATGTGGAAAAGTCACGTGACATGCACATGTGTCAATTATCTCACACTTGAGAATTCAAAATTTCCCCCAAACACAGACAGATCTCTCTTCCTCCAAAACCAGGACTCCGACGATCGAGAGGGCAACAACTCCTTCTCTATGTATATATCTTTGTGTATATCTGTGTATAAATGCATTTGCGTATATTGAGTAAGAATTTGGGTTGAATGTTTGGATTTAGGGATGTTGATTTGGGAATTGAGTCTGGGCTTTTGATTTGTTTATCAGATTGGCCTTTTGATTTGGAGTTTTACCTTGCCTACCACTTGCTCGATGAAATTTCTCAATCAAAATGGCCTTTTGATTTGGATTATAGTTTTAATTTTTTTGATAGGTTGTGCAAAACCAATCCAAATCTGTAATGACTGGTTAATGACTGTTAAATGAGCTTAGACCTTAGCTCATAATCATCTTGAATAGCTTCACTAAACAGCTGAGAAAAACATTTCCCAAGTTTGAGTTCAAAATTATGAATTACTAAGGAGTTGCTAGGCTCCTTTTACAGCTCTATTTACCAATAACTTAAAAGGTAAAGTTCGCATCTTAGGAATATAATTAACTTCTATGTGAAGAACATCTCCAGAGTCTTTAAGAGAAGCTAAGTTAGATCATATGAACATCTACAGAGTCTTTAAGAACATCTAGAGAAGCTTAAGTTACATATATAATCAGAAGTAGAGAAGGTTATAATACTTTACGGTTATGAAATGAATTACTTAAATTGGCCATCTTGTACTTAACATGAGAATATGAGATAAAAGTATCATCTAATCCACTTTCTCTTTTACTTATCTATTCTTATAACTAGCTCCATCCACAGTGATTGATGTCTTGGTACATATTACGTGAGCATATATGTAAGCATATATCTCTTAGTGCATCTCATTGTTAACATAGATAGACTTGGCTAGTGTTGAGAACTCAAACCAGTGGCTAGTGTTGAGAACAATATTGAATTTTTGGAACTTCACCACAACACACAAACCAATGGCTAGTGTTGATAACTAAATTGACAATTCACAATTGAACAATATTGATGATCTTATAACTCAAACCAGTGGCTAGTGTTGACAACTAAACTGGCTAGTGTTGAGAACTTAAACCAGTGAATAGTGTTGAGAACTCAAACTAGTGGCTAGTGTTGAGAACAATATTGAATTTTTTGAACTTCACCACAACACACAAACCAGTGGCTAGTGTTGAGAACTAAATTGACAATTGAACAATATTGATGATCTTATAACTCAAACCAGTGGCTAGTGTTGACAACTAAATTGGCTAGTGTTGAGAACTCAAACCAGTGACTAGTGTTGAGAACTAAATTGACTAGTGTTGAGAACTCAAACCAGTGGCTAGTGTTGAGAACAATATTGAATTTTTGGAACCTCACCACAACACACAAACCAGTGGCTAGTGTTGAGAACTAAATTGACAATTGACAAATGAACAATATTGATGATCTTAGAACTAAATTGAGAACTAACTTAATCAATGCATCATTGTAAGTACTTCAGGAGTTTATTAACTTAATCAACCTCAATTCTTCCTCTTTGCTTAATGAAATAACAATTAAATGATTTCAGAATGATTATATAACACAATGCCCAAACAAACACAATGAATCAGTTCCCTAACACAATGCCCAAATTGAACCATTGTTGAATAATGGAATTGATTTGAACAAATATTATGTGACTGTAGCTCGGCTTTTTCGCGCCCCCTTTCGGAAGTTCGAATGAAGCCCTACAGTTCGGACTCCCACGGTTCTGAATCTAATTTCACAAGTGCAATGTGAAATTGATAAACACCAAAGAGTCCAAATCCGACAAATCTTTTTGAAAAATCGATTTTAAATCAAATAATACCAAAATTGGACTGCTTTCCCAGATACAGAGTCGCCACCTAAATATTTTTGTTTTGGAGAAATTTAGGAAACCCTGACTCGTGCCAAAGGCCGCGTGTTTGTCATCACCAAAGTTGTCTCAGCTCAAGAACCTAGGTATGAGAGGGGAAGGTCATGAATTGAGCACCGCCGCTCGCCCGATCAAAGATCAGCTTCTACTAATCATGATATGCTTTTTTATAAACATTATGTACTCCTATTCCGATTATTAGACTAAAATTACTATGTGATTTGCACAAGCAAGTATAAACTACATCGCAAGAATTGGAACATTTCAAATCATGTTTGTTTTGCGAAAAAAGGTTTGAATTTGCCACCCTCAAGTGGGCTTAAATTTTGTGAATTTGCCACCAATCATAATGGGCTTAAAACATGATTTGTCACTTAATAAAATGAGCTTAAAACACATATTTGTTAATCGTTCCAATTTAAACTGTGCTTTCATCCACAGGCATTCAAGTAGTTTAAGCACATAGCCTCATGGAAAGCGCGCTAATCATGGCAACATTTACATTCATGCAAGTATACTAAAGCATAAAAATTCACCTAGTACTCCAGGCCAAGAAAACATGAGTTAGAAAAATATGCATGATTCCTAACTTATACAAGATGCTTAATGCATCACATGTAATATGCAATTAATAGGCTCGGCTACTAATATGGCATATGAATCGATTTGATAACATGCGATCTAAGCACGTATTCAAATAAGATATTTGAAATGACAATGCAGTTAGAATGATGCGCTAAGCCTCGGTGCATGCAAGACAAATTGAATGGATGCAAGCATAAGGTATGCTAATTAGAACATGCCCCTAATCTAACCAAATCATTTTTTAATTAATTTGTCCATTACCTAGTACTCCAAGCCAAGAAAACATGAGTTAGAAAAATATGCATGATTCCTAACTTATACAAGATGCCTAATGCATCACATGTAATATGCAATTAATAGGCTCGGCTACTAATATGGCATATGAATCGATTTGATAACATGCGATCTAAGCACGTATTCAAATAAGATATTTGAAATGACAATGCAGTTAGAATGATGCGCTGAGCCTCGGTGCATGCAAGACAAATTGAATGGATGCAAGCATAAGGTATGCTAATTAGAACATGCCCCTAATCTAACCATCAAAAGTGGGTAAACAAAAAGAAGAAAGACATGGGGTTGGAAGACATACACACACGCACACACACTTATTACAACATTACGCCCTCGCGAAGGAGGGTCTGAATGAATAAGCTAACCAACCAGCTACGCTAATTAGGGTTAAGCTAATCTAATTAAGCTCTCATTAAACTAATCTAATTAAGTTAATTAGACTAATTATTACAAATTAAATGAATAACTAGTTAAGCTAATTACTAATTATTACAACACAAGTGTAGGTAAACTAAGCAATTAAACTACGTTGCCACTGCTCTGCCTCGAGAAGTGGAGGATGCACATGCACAGTTTTCGTCCCAAAAAGACCACCGTTTTGCTTTCGAAAGTCTCTGTTTGCAGAGTTGAGCGTTTCCAGAACCTTTTTGCTCTACCTTATCGAAATT